ATGTGTATACTGGCACTACACACAAAGCAGTGTGTTGTGCCTGTAGCATTAGTATTAAGCAAAGCACGGAGCCGCTAAGCCTCTCTGAGGGGATAGATGGGGGTAGGCGCGAAGTGGTAACATGGCTTCTGGTAAGGCAGGGTTTCACGTCTCAGACCTCTGCAGCGAGAATGGGGTAATATTCTATTGCATCAAGGCCCACACCAGTCACCTGACACAGCCTCTGGACCAGGCTTTCTTTGGGGCCATTATTAGGCAAGCGTGGCAAGAGGGGGTATGGAAATTTGTAACGGACACCACGGAATCTGTCACACTGAGTTGACTGAGGACGTTCGCCGGCATCCTGAAGAAGGCCTGGACAACAGCAGCTCAGCTGGAAACAGCCCTGAGGGGATTCACCAAGTCAGGGCTGTTTCCCTACAACCCTGACGTTGTCCTCACAAGTGACAAGCTGAACCCAGATGCACCTTCACAGGGTCCCCCGCCCCTACACTCCACTTGTCATCCACCTCTGCCCCATCCACCTTGTTTGCCTCTGAACCACCCATGACGTCACAAACTCGCCGTCGCCGACTCAAGGAAATATTCTCCATGAACTTTAAGCTTGGGGAGGAGAAGGTGGACCTGTACCTCAAGAGGTTTGACAATGGATACGACCTCAAGATCGACCCGGACTACAACATGTGGTCCAGTCTGAAGGACAAAATTGAACAACTGGCTCCTCTGCTCCCCCAGCCATCAGCAAGAGCCTTGGAACCTCAGACCCCCTCCAGGGAGATGACTAGCGACAAGGTGCTCACATTACCGTCATGTTAAAAAAACAAGGCCGTTAGAAAGCCTCAGCCACCTGTGCCACCGTCCATCAGTGGAAATGACTAGAAAGAGATGATACTCACGAAGAAGAGGAAGGCGGAAGAAGAACAACAGTAGAAGGTAGAGAGAAAGAAGCAAAGGGAGCAGAGAAAGATGGAACAGCTAGCACAAGCTGAAGACAAGAAGGAACGCGAAAGAGAGAAGGAAAAACAAAGGGAACAGGCAAAGAATGAGAAAGAGAAGAAGAAGAAAAGGAGAATTCAAGAGAAGAAGATGAATGCTTTGGTTGTGGCCTCACAGAAGAAGAAAGAGGATGAAGATTCCTCTGACTCAGGAGAAGAGCCGGAGTATGACGACAGCTCCGACGATTGAGAGAACATTACTGTCGACTGTGCTGGGTGTGGAGCCACCACTGCAGGACAAGAAGTGCTCACCCAGTACATGCTTTATGACAAGTGGTGGCTCGCCAACTGTGTCAAACAGATGGACCTGAAGGACAAGACTCAGGAAGACCTGGATGCCATGGACATTGAGATCTTTTGTTGTGTTGACTAATCTCCCCATCACAATTTGTTTCATACTAATAGTGTGAACAATATCTTTGTTTATCCATGTGCAATTAGATCCTCATGTATCTACTTTGCTGTTCTCATATATAATTTAATTCATGATTTTCAGAGTTATCTAGACTCACTAACAGATTACTGTTTCCCTTGTAAGTGTTGACTTCAGTTATTTTTTTTTGGGTCTTTCTCTTTTAGCTATAATAAAAACTGAGTGTCTCTTGCAACTTACAACCTCTTGTGTAATTTGTAAGAATATTTCCTCATTTGTGATAAGAAAATCATACGTTAGCCTATAAGATTCATAATAAGAAGTTATTAGGGCATATTGCAAGACCCACCCTATCCTAGCGCGCAGCCCCTCCATAAAACGCGCCCCCCTCAAGCAGGAACGCGCATCCCCGCTCATTGTCGCACACACCCGCCCTCACTTTGCCTCACAAATACCCCTACTGATGAGGGAGACAGGCAAACAAAGCAGGCATAGCGCGCTGGGCCGACAATAGCAGACGAAATTTGTGCGGTTACCTCCCCTCTCACCAAGGACTGGCAAGGTCACTTTTTATGCTTAGGGTAGCGCAGACTACCTCCTCTACTCTATAGCCAAACTATGTAATGACAACAATTAAGACAAAAAACTGGTTTCATGCAAGGGTCTTCCTTTGAACAAAGAACACCTGTTCTAGGCCTGCCAACCCTTCCATGACCAATATTTTTAAAAAAAAGGAGTTTTCTTCAAAACCCTCCTTAAAAATCAGAGGTTGGGGGGGGGGGGGGGGGGGCCTCCAAAACCCTACTGATTATGATAACATTATAGAAATGCGTGTAAACATCATAAACGATAAGTCACACAAATTCAAATATAAACCAGTGTATTTCCACATCATTGGTGAAAAGTTGCTTACGACCAATGGAAATGGAATGCAAGCAACAAAATTGGATTTTATACAAATCTGATCCAGACTCTTCAACAAACAAAATTTAAAGAAAAACTGAGTGGAGGGCTCCAATTTTATCGGACTACTTAAAATCTGTAATGTTAAATGATTATAAAGGGGTGGGGGTATCATGTCATACAAGTACTTCTAACCAGCTCAAAATGTTCAGATCCAAACGCTAAAGGTTTGAGTTCTGCCACTGCAGGCAGTAGTAGAAACACATTTCAATTTTCTCAGCATCCATTATAAAAATTTACATCATGCGACATGCAATTTTAGGATGGATCTCTACAAACCAATCTATGAGTCAACCTGTGTCGACGAAAGGGACAACAAAAGAATAGTATTATTACTTTGATTCCTGTCCCATGCTAAGGTTTGTAAGTTTGTATTATCACCTTCTTTGTTCACATTTGTATCCGTTTTACGTGAATAATTATAATGACATTACATTTGTCGCAATTATTAGTTCATGAAATAATTGATGATTTCTATTCGAACTATGCATACACTAAGCGTAATTGCCTCATAATTTTCATGCTCTGAACCGATCCATGGGGTTTCAGGGGGGCATGTCCTGAGGTTAAAAAAAAAACAACCTGGGGGTTACCGGGTGGCACACCCCTATTTTCCCCCATGATTGGATGTTTTTCAAAACAGTTTGAAATTTTCTTGAAACTAAACTTTCCAACATTTCAAATGTGAGATCAGCAGCCTAAAATATAGTCGTTTGACCCTCAAAAGCAGTGCACTTAGTTTGTGTATGGGAACGAAAGTAAAATTGTCACCAAACATTGATAATGTGAATGTGGTGGTACTCTACTTAATCAAACTTTAACGTTTAAAGTGTATAATAAAAGTTTTAATTTCGTATTTTATTAGTGAAACAAACAGGAAGCAGGAGAATGATGTCAGTATCAGTCAGAGAGAAATTCTCCAAACTAGCAGCAAAAAGCGTAGCTTCATGAACGTGAGTCACTGGCTGGTTCCAAGACTAAATTTTAACACATGAAGCTACAGCGAGCTCCTAGTACTCCTAGCACACCTTTGTGAGTGGCCCACATATAGATGACACATTTCCGCCATCTATATTTGTCATCTTCCAGGGCTTTCCCCAAGACTCTTGGGTTTCCCTCCCCAGTAACTGTTGACTAGATCTCGCCGTCTGAGGTTTAAACAATTTTTTGTTGGTGTATTTGATATGTGTATATATATATATATTCATGAAGCTTCTTGTTCTATTTCATGTTTGTTCTGCATTGTTTCAGATGTCTAAAATGAGAATGTCGAATTGTGTTGATTAAAACCAAAACATCTTTGGTCATTACTCTTTCGTTATCTTTTAGGCCGTCATTCGAGTCCGAATAACATTTTTTTATATTCGGACTCGAGTCCGAATATGGAAAAATATTATTCGGACTCGAGTCTGAATATGGAAAAATGTTATTCGGACTCGGGTCCTGAAAAAAAGGAAGTGTATTCGTTCTATAGATCTATCGTTCAGTGCTTCCAATTTTCCGCCATTTTTTAGTTTCCCCCAC